GCGGGCAGGGGCTCGGGGCGCGGACAACGCGCTCAGAGACGCCAAGGGACAGGCCCGAGGCCCACAGCCGGGCACCCGGGACCGTCCGACCCTGCGGGGAAGGGGAGCAGGCCGAGCTGCGGGCGGACCCCGGCGGGCGCGGGCATAGGGAGGCAGCCTGGGGTGAGCTGGGATCAGCTCGAAGGGCTGCAGGTGAGGGAGCCGCGGTCAGGAGGTGACAAATGGGCACCGAGAGTCGGCCTCTGTGGGCGACTAGAAAGAAGCCGACTTGAGTTCCTTTTGGCTCTGGCAACAAAATAACGATCGTGAGCCCCCCACCCCCACCCCCCCAATGGCGATCGTGACAGATTGAAGAACATTTTAAATTCCAGGTGACAAATTGGGCATCTTACTATTGAATCTCAACACCAAGTTCGCTGCCCTTGAGTCCATGTCGAGTCATAGTGACCCTGAAGGACACGGTAGAATTGGCCCTATGAGTGTCCGACAAGAACTCTTTACCCGAGTAGAAGGCCCGTCCCTCTCCAGCACAGCGGCTGGTGGATTTGAACTACTGATCTTACGGTCAGCAGCCTAGCATATACCACGATACCTCCAGGACTCCTCTCTTGAGTTGTGAGTGTTCTTGATTCCTGAAAATATAAGTCTTTTATTATATACACGCGGGAATATTTTCTCCCTCCACGACCCCCCGACAACAGCTGCGATAGTAATTCTTTTAATTCATCTAGTCTTCCTAACAACCATCAGAGAGAGTGGGGACTGGTGTGATTGACGCTGCTTCACAGAGGGGGAAACAGTTTATTTCTCTACCCACCCAACTACAAAGGGAGAGATTGCCAAGATGCCAACACTCAAACGGAGGCAGCCTGTGAACATAATTGTGAGCCCAGGTGGAAGGATGCCCATTTCGTAGCCCGATTATGAAGGGTGGATGAGGTCAGCCGTTTCGGGAGCCCAGGTGGAGTGGTTGCAGGGCTGCTAACTGCAAGGCTAGCAGTTAGAAACCTCCAGCTGCTCCCCAGGAGCAAGACAGGGTGAGAAGAATCTAGGAGACTCACAGCGGGTAGTTCTGCCCTGTCACTGTGAGTCGGCACTGACCGCATGGCCCTACGTTTTTCTGGGTTTGGTCTTGGGTTTGGTAAGTAACTTGTCATCGGCTGAAAAAGCCTGAGCTCCGGAATTAATCAGTGCTGTGTGGGGCTGCTTACAGATTTCTTCTGCTGCCTGCGGCTATGGATTCACACTGCTGTCCTCTCAGACCAAGGATATCACCAAAGTCTGGGGCATGGGACTCAATAAGGATTCCCAGCTAGGCTTCCACCAGAGCCGGAAAGATAAAAGTAAGTATGCTCACCCCGCTGCCTTGTCTCTGAGCAAGCTCTCATCGCTGCGTTTCCAGGACGTGGTCACGTAAACTAAAACCTAACAGCAAAGTCGACAGATTGGCAAAGCCCTGTGGTTTGAAACAGACACTTGCAGTTGGTTGCACTTCAGTGCTTTAAAGCAGTTTTGAATTGCTTTTCTTGACATGTATATGTTGAAGAAGTCACATGGGTCACAGCCTAGGGAATTTTCCAGTGTGGAGTTGGCCGACCCGGTCTGGAGCCATTTCGCACGAGCCCCTGCCCCTCCTGTGAGCGACAGGGCTGGAGCCGTGGCTCTCTGGAAGGAGGAACCCCACGGCAGAAGCAGTTTGTCGACACACCGTTCACACGGCTGCCGGTTGTGTGTCTGCAGGCCGGGGCTACGAGTATGTTCTGGAGCCTTCGCCCGTCCCGCTACCTCTGGACAGCCCTCAGGAGACGCAGGTGCGGCAGGTCTCCTGCGGCCGAGCGCACTCCCTGGTCCTGACAGACAGAGAAGGAGGTGACTGCCCTCGCCAAGGTTGGGAGGGTGGGGGTGTTTGAGTCAGGATCTCATTAGGCCTCCCCACCGGCCCCCCTTGGCCATGCGGCCCCTGAGCTGGGCGAGCGGCCTGTGTACTGAGGCTTCTTCCCCTCTGGTTCGGGGCTTCCAGCGTCCAGGCTCCTGCCCAATCCGGCAGCCCCCCTCGAGGGGCAGGCCAGCCAGAGTGCGGTCTAGAAGTTTCCTTGCCCAGCCCGACGTGTGCACTGTCGGCCAAGGGGAAGGTGGGCATCAGGCTTTCTTTTAAGAGGGGCTTTGGCATTGAGGGCACCTCGGGGCAGGAACACAGGACAAGGTGCTAACCTGGGAATGGGAAATTCCCAAGGGGCAGAGCTGGCCCCTGAGCAGAGGGAACAGGCCATGCCTGTGCCTTGGAGACTGGGCAGAGTCAACATGGGGGTTGGGGGCTGCTGCCCAGGGCCCCGGGAAACTGCCGAGGGGTTCTCACAGCACTTGTCTCCGTCAGTCTTCAGCATGGGGAACAACTCCTACGGGCAGTGCGGCCGCGCGGTGGTTGCAGGTGAGATCTACCGGTGAGTGTCCCGGGGACTGTGCTCGCTTGGCTAGCCCTCCCGGGGGGGCTGCTCAGTGGCAGGGCGCTGAGAGAGGAAGGCCGTGAATCGGGTCTGTGTCATGTCGCACTCCAGTCCTGAGCTGGACGCGAGGGGGCGCGGTGAGGGCTGGCTCTGGTGCACAACCCGCCTTTGAGTTCTTGGGCTTTAGGGAAGACTGGTTCTCATCAACTCGCTTCACTTAGGACAGCCCTCCTCCTCTCAGTCCCCTTCATTTCAGTCTTTCCATTCCTCTCCTCACCTCAGGGTTTTGTCCCAGGAGCCCCCGCGGGCCAGGGGGCCAAGGGGTGGGCTGCTTCCGCCCACAGGGAACAAGGCAGGGCTTGCAGCCTGGAGACCCCACTCTGTCTGTAGGGTCACGGAGTTGGGATGAACCTGGCAGTGGGTTTAAGGGTTTTTGTTTTAATTTTTTTAGTAGTTTATTTATTTATTAAGCAGTTGAGGTACATATGTAACTACCAGTTTTGTGGTTATTTATAAAGGCACTATAAATATCCATGTACGGATTTCTTGTTGGCATAATTTTTTTTTCATTACATACTTTCATTGGGGGCTCTTACGTCTCATCACAATCCATACGCTCATCCAGTGTGTCGAGCACATTTGCGTATGCTGCCATTGTCATTTCCAAAGCATTTTCTTTCTACTCGAGCCCTTGATGTCAGCTCCTCATTTTCCCCCTCCTTCCTTCCCTCATGAACCCTTGATAAGTTATAGAGGGTTATTTTCATATCTTACATTGGCTAGTTTCTTAGGCCTAAGGAGCCCTGGTGGCGTAGTGATTATGCGTTGGGCTGCTAACCGCAAGGTCAGCAGTTCAAAACCACCAGCTGGTCCTTGGGAGAAAGGTGAGCCTTTCTACCCCATCAGGAGTTAGAGTCTCGGAAACCTACGGGCAGTTCTAGTCGATGTGAGTCGGGACTACCTGGATGGCGATGAGTTTGGTGTGGGTTTAACTCTGGATGGTTCTTGACCTTGAGAGTCTTCACAGTGACTCTGATGCCGAGAGAACAAGGCAAAGGATAGAAAGGGGACAGGAGCCAGACTGGGAGGGGCAGGGTCACACCATGGTGCCTGTGACCATGCCCTCTGCTTCTCCCCCAGTGAGAGCCACCGAGTGCATCGACTGCAGGACTTTGACGGGCAGGTGGTCCAGGTGAGAAGCCGGCCGAGAGCTGCTCCCGAGAATGACCCCGGTGTCTCGGAAAGTTGCTCACTGGGGTGGGGGTGGGGCAACCTTCTGGGAGGAATTTCTGAGCTCATTGTCATAGTGAAAATAGTTACCAGAGTTCAGGCTGGACGTGGGGAGCACAAAGTAGACTAAGACCAGGGGGAGAGGCCAGCTGACTCCGCTGAGATTGTGTTTCTCAAGGATAGCTCTGTGTGCCGGGGACCTAGCATGGCGCCTGGCTCTGGTAGACAGCTAGGAAAGGTGGCATGGATTAGTAGAGCCATGGGGGTATTGTGAGCCATGCAGAGGTGACAGCTAAAGCCTTGGGGGTCTGTGCACGTGGCCAAGGACATGAAGAAAGAGAAGACAGAAGCCTGGAGAAGGGTTCTAAGCCTGGAGGGCACAGGGCAGGGGAGGAGCTGGTGACCACCATGGGAAGCCCCTAGAGAGACTGACTAAGGGATGGGGCCAAGAAAGGTTTAGGCTTGTCAAAGGGAGCAAAAGGAGGGGCTATTGGATCTGCCCCTACGATACCGGGCTCGTTGGCAAGCGCAGTTTCAGGGTGGGCTGGGCTGCAGTGATGCGAGGACAAGGCAGGTGGGGGCCGTCTGGGTGGGGAGTACTGGTTCTTTGGAAGTCCCTAAGGGGGGGGGGGCACTGGGTTCTAAGTGTTTCCTCTCCCCTCCGATAGGTTGCCTGTGGCCAGGACCATAGTCTCTTCCTGACGGAGAAAGGAGAGGTCTACTCCTGCGGCTGGGGTGCCGATGGGCAGACAGGTAACACTGTCACCTGATGGGTCTGGTGTTGGGTCTCGGCCTGTGAGCTCTGGAGCTTTCCCATGCTGGACCTCACCTTTCCTAGTTGACTCTCGGTGTTCTGGCCACTTCCTGGGGTTCCCTGCAGCCCACGGCCTCAGGGCCTCGGTGTGGTGCTGCTCTCCCTAGTGAAGGCCTCCCTGACAGAACCTGGGATTCTGACTCACGGAGGGCAGGGGAGAGCTGCCCCAGGACTTTGTACCAGGAGCAGACAGCATCCTGCAGCTGGTGGGATTGAACCGCCGACTTTGCCTTTAGCAACCCAGTGCTTACGCCACTAGACCACCAGGACCCTCTTCCTTGACCACACTGCACAGTGGCTGTTCTTTGTGTCTTAGCTTTCTCTTCCTGCCTTGCAGAGCCTGCAGCACGTCCACGTTCTTTACCAGTCTGTCTTGGCACACGAGAGTGGGTGACACAGAAGTTACCGTGCTCAGCTTCTTACACACAGGGTCGGTGGTTCAAACGCACCAGCTGCTCCACGGGAACACGATGGGGTGGGCGCTTCTGAAAGAAATGGACAGCCTGAGAAACCCTTTGAGGCAGTCTAGTCTGTCTGATAACATTGCTACACTCTAATCGACTCAAGGGCTCCGGGCTTAATGTCGAATATTTGTAAAAGATACATAAGTGTTATGTTTGACCGGAACAAAGAAGAGTGAAGGAAATGAAAATCCCAAGGAAACAAGTAGGACGAATGGACTCTTATCATCAGCCTGAGACAAGAAGAGCTGGATGGTGCCCGGCTACTGCTGCGCACCGCTGTGACGGGGTCACAATAGAGGATCCTGGGCAGTGTGGGGGGAAATGGGGAACCTGCTCCCACATGTTTAAAAGAGCCAGACTCACTGGCCTGATGGATACTGGCAGAACCTGGATCCGAACCCACAGTCAGATCTCCGTTCAGCCCCACACATGACAGGCCTGCAAACCGAACAACAATCCGTGTGAGCAGCGTGCCCCTCAGAACAGGAAGGCAGTTGGGTGAGCGCCAAAGGACAGTGTTTGCCCCAGTACAGTCCAGGAGGCAGGGAGGACCCACAAACCCCCTTTCTGACTCACCTGAGGCTATACATCTATATGGGGCAGACAGCCTCAACTCCCTCCCAAAGAGCGGCTGGTGGGTTTGAACTGACCTTGTGGTGGTTAACTGCCCAAGCTTAACCCGCAGCATCACCAGTCTAGAGAGTAGAAACTGGGTGCTGACGGCCGATTGTTGCTCCTGTTGAATGCATGTGTGTTCCGGTGTTTGAGTATGGGATCATATTGGATGGAGCTTGATTGGTGGGAAGCCCAGGTCTAGTCGGTGCATTTTTCCTCCCATTGCTAAGGGCGCGCACCACCAGTCTGATACCACGTTGACCCTCTGAGGAACCCCAGCTTACAGCAGGGTCTGAGGGTCAGTGTTCTGCCCAGAGGGTGGCCCGCACTACGCATCATGCATTGCCCATACTGACACTTGTCCCGGGGCAGCAGGGACTCAGTGCCACCGAGCTGATTGATGGCAGTCATGGCGGCCCAATAGGACGGGAGAACCGCCCCTGTGGTCTCTTGAGACGGGAACTCTTACAAAGTGAACACCCCGCCTTTCTCCCCTGGAGCGACCAATGGTTTCAAACGTTAGCACCCCAGCATGTAACCACTGCGGCCCAGGCACCCAGCCCTTGGTGTCTTCCAACTCCGTGCCCAAGTGCGGTGGGGAGCAGCTGGGGCTGTGCCTGGTGGGGTGACAGGTGGATACAAAATGTTAGGAACTTCCTTTTCTCACGTGCCTGGCAGGGCGGTTCACGGGGTGGCGTCCTCTCTCACAACATGTTCTCATCGGATCTGCAAGACCCCAAAGGTTTTAAAAGTAGGCCAGTTACTGTGTGTGCCCACAGAGGAACAGATGGGGCTTTCGGAGTTGGTATTTCTAACGTGCTTCACAAAACAGCGCTGGGCACCGTGGGCTGCTGATTGCAAGTTGGCGGTTCAAACCCCAGAGCGGAGCCATTCTGCAGCAGGCAGGTGCAGCTGTCTGCAACTGTAAAGAGCTCCAACCACAGGAACCTGCAGGGGCTCTTCTGCTCTGTCTTGGAGGGCCACTGGGCCAGAATCGATTCGTGAGCGGCAAGATGGGTTTTTGGAAGTGAGTTGGTACGCAGGCTACAAGTGTTGGCTGAAAGAAACATGATAAGTAAACATTTCCATTTTGCCAGGTCTGGGTCACTACAACATCAGCAGTGTGCCCACCAAGCTGGGTGGGGACCTTGCCGGGGTGGACATAGTCCAGGTAGCCACCTACGGGGACTGCTGTCTGGCCGTGTCTGCGGAGGGCGCCGTCTTTGGCTGGGGGAACTCCGAGTACCTGCAGCTGGCGTCCATCACGGATTCCACACAGGTACTGGTGACCTGCGGCGTGCTTCAGGGGGATGCTTAGAACGGGCAGTGCCAATGGCAGTTCTCAGAAGCTTTTCCCCAAGGAACAATGTGGGAAGTTCCAGTTGCCGTCAGAATGCTGCTCACAGCACTGGGTTCTCAGGAGTCTCATGGGACCCCAGAGGCTCCGAAGCTGTCCTTCCTAATCCCTGAAGGAGCGGGTTCTGGTTTAGAGCAGGGATGTGCCTTTGCCCTTAACACGTGGCGGTTGAGCTCACGCTCACTGAGGCCACAGACTCGCTGTCATTGAGTGGAGGACAGGGTGGAGCCCCCCTGTGTGTGTCTGAGACGGTCACTGTTCTACAGGGTTTCAGGCTTAGCTGCCCACGCTCAGCCACTACCACAGGGTTCCTCTCGGAGTGCCCAGCCTGCTTGTCACTGCTCGGCTGGGCATGCTGTCCTCTCCTCGCCCAGCCAGCTCCTCCGCCTTCCTCGACTGCGCCTACCCCTGAGCTGGATCAAGTCCCTGCTGTGCACTCTGAGACCATGGCACTCACCCCACGAGACCAGCACCCCAGGAGGACAGGGACTGGCGCTCTCATCCCCTATCCCCACCCCCACCCCCCCTGGCGTCACCAGCACCTAGTTGGGTAGTTGGCACCTGGTGGGCAGTCAAGATTTGTGGGCAGTGGGAGTGAATGAACATGGACACACCTGCATTGATCGTGGTTCAGAACACACCCTGTCCCCCGCCCCACCCCCACTTCATGGGTCTCTCCCGCAGGTGAACGTACCTCGGCATCTGCCCTTCTCAGGCGTGGGGCTGGTGAAGCAGGCGGCGTGCAGCGGGACTGGCTGCGCCATCCTGAACAGTGAGACCCTCTCCCCCTTTGGTGGGTGGACAGAGGCGGTCCTTGTCCGATCCACAGACGTTTGGCCACAGCACAGAGGAAGGGCACGTGGCCGTGGGAGGTGTCGGCGGCCTGCTGGAGCTCGCGCACTCACTCACTCACTGTGGGAGAGCAAGAGACTCCTGCCTGGGAGAGAGAGCCTGGGGTTCTGCCTAGACCGTACAGAGCCTGGGCTTTCTCCAGCAGCCCTCCGCCTGGCCCAACCCCCCTGGGAGGCGGGGCCAAGACAGGCAGATGGGAGAAAAGCCCTGGGGGGACCACCAGCACCCCTGATGAGTGCCGGGCTAGTTCCTGGCCTACGACTCACCTCTAAGAGCTTCAAGACTGGCCCCAGCCGTCACTGGCTTGGCATAGTCTTCTGTTATGGGGACATTTGCCCTTCTGAGGTCCTCCTGTGTCCACGTGGGCGGGGGTCCCATCCTGGCTGGCCTCCCGCTGTGGGAAGGCCCGAGATGGCTTAGCCCGCAGGGGCGGTGGCGTGCGTGTGGGGCTCTTGGCTTCTTGGGGACGGATGGGCTGTGTGTAGGCTGGCAGGCTGACTGCCATTCTGGGCCCTGTAGGAGACGGCCATGTGTTTGTCTGGGGCTATGGAATTCTGGGAAAAGGACCCAACCTCATGGAGTCAGCACTTCCCGAAATGATCCCACCCACCCTCTTTGGCTGGACGGAGCGTAACCCGGAAGTCCAGGTTTCCCGTGTCCGGTGTGGCCTCAGCCACTTTGCTGCGCTTACCAGTAAGTGATAGCCCCCAGATGACATGGGGGAGGGATGCTTCTTGCACTTCCGCCCCAGACCGTGGGGAGTTCTCAGCTCTCCACTCTGGGGGGCAGGCCACGAGCCGTCTGTGTCCATCCTGGAGTGTGGGTTTGGGCATCTTTGCTTTTGTGGCTCTGCTCCTGGTTAAGTGGTTTCCCCAGTGGACAGGCACTGGAGGCAGAAGGGGGCCGCTGAGCCAGTCGGGGTGCTGGGGGATGCCAGCAGAGCTCTGGCAAGTCCCCAGTGGGCCATTAGGGAATGAATGTGCGGCGCTCATCCTGTTCCCTGGCCTTCCCTGCTGCCGGCTGTGGGTGAAGAGACCGGCCTGGGCTCCCCCAGGGAGGGGGATCGAGGGGAAGGCTGAGAGGCCTCCAACCACAAAGGCAGGCATCCACCAGCCGCCTTCTCTGGGCTCCGCCAGTCAGTTAAACCGCTTCCCTGCAGTTAATACTTTGTGACGCCCTGTGGTAAATAGTTGTTCTGTTTAGTGTTTGAACATCTTGACACAGCAGTCAGTGTGGGCTGCCTTGGTGTCCCGGGCACAGTGCTGTCACCCCTGGGGACAGTGTGGACGGTTGTGGCCAGGCTGATGGCTCTCCCTGTGTTAGTGGAACAGGCACGGCAGTTAGCACCGAGCTCAGGGACTGTCCACCGCTAGGCCTGGGACAAGGTCCTGTGCCTTTTGCCAAGCTGCTTTGAGCCACTAAGAGTCATTGTGAACTGATGGTGTGTGTGGCCGAGATCTCTTTTCTAGAATGTTGTGAGGCGTTGACCATCTATAAAGTCCATCAAAGTATTCCATCAGATTCGCCACCACCACCCCCACACCCCTGAAAATAAAGCCTTCAAGTCTCCTTCCACTGTCGATTCTAAGTCACTGGAGCCTTCCAAGACAGAGCAGAGCTTGCCCATAGGGCTCCTGAGACCGTCACCACCCCGTCTCTCCAGAGAACAGCGGCTGGGTGTGAATGGCCACCCTTCTGGTTGTCGCTGCAAGCCCTGTGCCGCCAGGTTCCTCTGCTGTGAGAGGAGGGTCTTTCTTCTTTGCCAATGTGCAGTGCTGCCCTGTCGGGCCATTTTGGCCTGTGTTCCCCTCGGGAGGCTTGGGAGTATAGTGAATTATCCAATCGGAAGGTCAGTAGTTCAAACCCACCAGTCTCTCCCTGGGAGAAAGACGAGGCCGTTCTCCTGTAAAGAGTGACAGTTCCCCGAAACCCACAGTGTGGTCACTGTGAGTCAGCAGTGGGTTTGCTGTGAGGTGTAGACACCCCAGGACCCGGCAGGCTCGTTTAAGTGCCAGTCCCTGCTGCTTTGGTGGCAGCGGGGGTGGGAACCCGGCTCAGGCCTTCGGTGTGTCTGTGACCAGTGGTTGCCCAGGGCTGCCTGGGGATTGAAGTTGGTTGGTGTGCTCCAGGCCTTTCCGCCAGCATCCTGACTGTAGGAACACTTAGAATCTGAGTGGAGGATCAGCCGGCGTAAGAAGCTGTGTTAGTGGCCAGAAAGCAGCTTCATTCAGCTCGGGTGTCTCTGCCCCAGCCTTCATGGGACGCGGGAGGTGAGAGGGCCACCTCTGGGTAGGCTGCCCAGGTAGAAGTGGCCTGAGAGAGCAGACCAGGCCCGGGCTCAGGGGCGCCCCACTCTTCCCGTCGGGGTGCAGTCCTGGGTTTGCTCTCCTGTTTACTGCCAGCTCATTGGCTCAATGGAGCCCCGAGAGGACAGGTGCCCTGTCTGCTGCTCACATCCTGTCCCCAGCACCCAGCACACCGAGTTACCCTGCCCCCCTGTGCCACTTGACATGTGCTCCCCAGAAAGGGGAGCCTGAGCTCGGCGGACCTTTTTGCTGAAGTAGAATGCCTGGGGCTCAGCCAGGGTCTGGGGCTGCTCAGTGGGGTGGAGGTGGGGGTGCTTGTTAGGAGCTGAGGGCAGGTGAGGGATGCACTCAACCCCCCTCGAGGAGCAAGCCTTGATGTTGTCAGACCTGCCAGGACAGACGGTACTGGAAAGCCTGCTCTTGCAGCCCTTCCTCTCTCTCTCTCTCTCTCTGCAGACAAAGGAGGGCTGTTTGTGTGGGGAAAGAACGTCCGGGGGTGCCTGGGTATCGGCCGCCTGGAGGACCAGTACTTCCCGTGGAGGGTAAGGCTGCCCGGGACAGGCCATGGGTGGGAGCAGCACTCCGGTCTCGGGCTGCGGGGTGGGAGCAGGGGGAACAGCCCACCGCCCAGGCTAGGAGACGCCAGGCTGGGGAAGCCCAGTGCCGCCCGAGAAGAGCTAGGGGTCACGTGGCAATTCACCGGTGCAGCACCCAGAGGCGTGGGCGTAGGCGCCAGGCAGCTCACTCACTCCTAAGGCCTCTGGGGGTGCCCCCTTGGGGACCCTCTGACTTGGGCTCACCTGCCTCGGAGGCCTTGGCTGGGCTCAGTGCCAAGGGGGTGCCTGGTGCCGGGTGCAGCCACTGGGGAGGCGGCCGCCTGACTCTCAGCTGGCGGGCGCTGGCTTTAGGAGCTGGTCATCATGGGGAGAGATGGCCCCGATGGCGTGCTCAAACTTTTTAAGAGCCGCGCCAGCTCCCTGTGATCCTTCCTGGCTTAGGAACTGCTTCCCTTGGCAGCACCGCTGCCACTGCCACTCGGTGTAGAACAGAAACGCCTTGGAACCGTGACGAGAGGGCAGCCTTCGCTAACCTCGGTCCAGAGGCTGGGCGAGCCTGCTCACTGGGGCCAGTCTGCCCCAGCACCACCCCAGCCTCCCCGCAGGCCCTTGGCCTGCTGGTCGCTTTGGTCTGTCCTGCCTCCACTGTGGGCTCTCCGCGCAGAGTACCCTGGGTCGCGTGAGAGGTGCTGAGGGGCAGCTGGTGGCCGTAGTGAGCGGTCCACACTCCTGTTGCAGGGCCATGGCTGGCCAGTGGCCCGAGTAGGTTGCTAGGTGTCGGGCCGGTGTGGTCACCACAACAGCAGTGACTTGCTGCTCTGGGGCTGCGGGGCAGTAGCCCGAGTTTGCTTAGTGACCTCTCCTTGGTTTGCTGAAGATGCTTGTTTGGACAGGGCAGGGAGGGCGCAAGCCCCCCACTCTGCCTCCTGCCCTGGGTTCTCTGCCACCCCTCCCCTGCCCCTTCCGTCATTCACCGTCTGCCGTGTGTGGGCCACGCTGACTCCTGGATCGAGGGGGTTCAGCGTGGCATCTTGGGTCCTAAGGACGCACCCATATGATGGCAGTGACTTCGCCCCCCCTTCCCGCCTCTGAAACGGTGCATGTTACACTGGCAGATGGCAAAGCTGGCTGGTCCCCACAGTGGGGTCGTCCTCCCCGTGGGTTCTACTTTTTAGTAAGCTGTCCATCCCCCTGGTGGGCCAGAAGCCCCTCACATTTGCCCAGTTCTGCTCAGCCAGGTGATGGCAGCTATGAAGTCGTTGGCTCTCAGATCCCTGCCACAGGGTTGATGCTGCCATACAGGAGGCAGGCTTCTCCCGAGACTTTGGCTAGAAAGGTCGTGGAGGAAATCTCACCACACTGCACACGGGGACAAAAGGTGCTTTATACCTTCTGTTGTGTCCTCCCCGACTGCCGGGTTGGTTGTCACGGTGTGGGTTTTATGATTTATTCAGTAAGAGCAATGAGCAGGAACAAAGGCCCCCTTCTCCCTTGTCCTGCGGGGTGGAAGTCTTGGAGCCGGGCTCCCTGGACTGTGGGGGTGTCTGTTGACCAGGCGCGGCTGCAGAACGAGAGGCTATTTTTTTGTACATTGTCATTTATTTTGCTGCTACTGTTAACAAGCACAGCAAAACAGGCACCATCTCAACGGTGTCTCCATGACCATTTGGTGGCGTCACTCACCCTCCTCAGATGGTGTAACCAGCCTCACGGCCAGCGGTCCCACTTCCAGGAACATGCACCGCCCCTTTGACCCTCTGTTGGGTCTCAGAGAGCATCGTGCTGAAGGCAGCCATCGTTACCAGCTAAGCCCACAGAAGACTTCAGGGGGTTGGTCTTGAGTTTCAGGGGTTTATCCAGCCTCCACGGCTCCAGGAAATCTGAGTCCCTAAGAATTTTAAATTCTGTTCTGCACTTCCCCCACTTTGATCAGGATTCCTGTATGAATCTGATCAGAATGCTCAGCCAGGCCCCATCCTGCCTTCCGGTCTCACGGCAAAGGAGGCCACTGGCCACACACGCCACATCCTCCTCCTGCCCTGATCCTTCCTGACCCTTCCCCTCTCTGTAGCCCAGGCAGACACAGCCCACTTGTGCCTCAGTTTGCTGTGAAGGCTGCTGGCTTCCTGCAGTGGGCGAGCAGGTAGACAGAAGCACTAGACATGGCGGTTGGTTCGATTAACTGGATGTCCCATGAAACCAGGACCCTGCACCTCCAAACTGAGGGAGCCATTGTCACAGCACACAGCCCAACGCATCCACCTCCACTCGAGCCCGTCAGCACGGGCACTGTTCACCTGTTTGCCCTGATGGGTGATGGCTTGTCCAGAGGGGACGACTGGGGGTGGGGGTGGGCGGAGGACAGGCCATGCTCCTGCCCAGAGCAGCCCTCTGAATGCTGGCTGGAGGCTCGCCTTGGGGCTCAGAGGGCCTACGTGATTTCTTGTAGGGCAGAGCTAGGCTCTGCCCACTGGCCTCCTGGGGGGCCATCCCTACCTCACTGGGCGTGACCCTGTTTCAGGTGACGATGCCCGGGGAACCTGTGGATGTGGCCTGCGGCGTGGACCACATGGTGACTCTGGCCAAGTCCTTCATCTGAATTGCCTTCCTCTCCTGCCACACACAGCCACTCGGCCTCAAGAGTGGCTTTGTGCCAGCCAGCAGGGGCTCTGGTAGGGGTTGCTAAGTCAGGACCTTTTGTGACACGTAGCAGGGACAGGGTACCAGTCTGGTCTGGGTGACGTGGCCTCCTTCCTCACTAAGGAGACGGGCAGCCATTGGGAGTGAGCATCCGAGGGGTGGGGTGAGGCTCAGCCTGGCTAGGGATGGAGGGGGCAGTCTACCACACGTGCCGACTCCCCAGTGTCATGAGCCTGGGAACCTGCCTGCCCACAGCACACCCAGAGCTTGGTCGTTGGCAGTGGCTGACAGCTGCATCCTCAGGAGGTCACTGTGCCCCCCACCCCCACCCCCACCCCGTGTGACCTGGCTTGTATGGAGGAGGCTGTGCATCGCCTGGGGCAAGTCCAGCTGAGCTGAGGCGGCCAGGCCAGCCCGAGTGCCCCTCCATGCCCACGCCGCTCCCGCACCAGTCCTGGACGGCTGCGCCCAGCCAGCTGGCTGAGGGGGCACACAGCAAGCTGCCCGTGCTGCCCTGGACAGGCTGCCCATGGAGCCAAGAGCTTGGACCCCCAGGCTCTCACTCATGAGCCCTGTGACCATCCTTACTGCCGGCCTGGAAATGCTGAGAAGCCCCCGATGGAAGGAAGTCCCGGCCAGATTCCTGTGGGGCGAGGCTGTGAATGCATCCCTAAGAAACTTGGCTGGCTGGTTCAGAAGTTGTAAAAAGCATTTGATTTAATAATGTGACATGTCTTTCTCCTGAAAAACATCTTTTAAAAATCACTTGTTGGAATAAAATCCATTCTCTGCCTTTTTATTTTTAAGAAGTGGTCTTTTTCAATTTTAGTTGATCGTTTGCAGATTAACTTTTCAAAAAGGCTTTCGATACAGAGGCAAATCGAAGCCAGCAGCAGAGCCTTCTCAGAAAGACCTGTTCTGAGTCGAGTGAACTGTTTCCTGTCCAGCAGTCTGCCGTGCGTCTCGTCATCGATTGCTGGCTGGCACCCTTGCTCTTCCCGCTTCCATCCCTCCTCCCTCCCTCCCTCCCCCTCCCGGCCTCCTGGACCTCGGCCTTGGGAAACGCCACCCCTGTCATTGCCTATGGTGAGTTATTCTGACAAGGAGGTGTCTCCCTAGTGTTACTGTGCGCCTTGTCCACTGGTCTGTTGTTTCTCCAAAAACAGTCCCCGTGTGAGTTCAAGTCCAGACCTGGAGGGGGATTAGGGGCCACAGTCTCCAGAGTGCCCCAGTCTCTAGCCAACCTGTAAGCTGGTCTTTTCTAGGACTTTTGCTTTGTCCCACCTGGTTTCTTCCGCCCCTTTCATAGTGGGTGGTGGTGGGAGCTGGGCACCATCTAGTGCTTCAGGTCTCGGGCTCATCGTTCCCACGTCTGACTGTCATCCCCCTTCTCTGGGTGAGGGGAGCAGCCGTTACACTTTAGGGAGCCCCTCACCAGCTTCCCAAGGCCAGTCGCTTCTCTCCAAAGTAGGATGCTGAACCTTGACCTTGTGGCTCATCATGCCAAATGACCGTGATGTCTCCTAAGAGGAAGGGGCCTGAACCCTCAGGCCCCAGCAGTTCCTCAATCACTCAAGGGGTTTGCTTCTGGCTGAGAAGTTTTCCTCCCTTTGCCCCCACTCTGCTCTGCTGGATCTTCATGGGGGTATTTGCAGCCCAGGCAAGCACCCCTGCGGCAGCAAACTCTGCCAGCCCCATTCTAACACTCGGACAAGACTCCAACCCACAGCTCAGCTCCCACACAGCTGGTCTCACGGGAGCTGCACGTGCTACCACGCTTGGCCCTTCACCCACTTGGCGGTGGCAGAAATCCAGCCTCCTGGAGCTTAGCCTCCGGATGAAGAGATGAGCCAGGAGCAGGGAGCAGCATTGTGGCCCCGGAGGCCTCCGGCAGGGGCCTGGGGTGTCGGGAAGGCTACAGCTTGAGGCAGAATAATGACCACTGAGGAGGCTGGGGCACTGTCATGGCAGCAGCAGGGACCCTCACCTGGGAAAATACACACACACCCACCATTTCTTTGGGGCCGTCAAGTGAGCCCTCAGGTCCCCCCACCGCCCCATGGTCTACCTGGCTCTGCAATCCCAGAACAGCCCGTTGCCATGGCGATAGCTCCGATGATGAGTAGCCCAGGTGCAGGGGCCCCAGCACAGCCCAGTGACCGTGAGTGTGCAGTGTGGGAGGGAAGTCAAGGGTTGGAGGCCTTTGCAATGGCTTGGGGTTGTCTCAGGGCACCATTCGGTGCCCACAGACGTCCTGGCTCCAGTGCAACAGCTGGAGGACCGAGGGGGTGAACGGACACCTCCCCAGCAGCCAGAGCATTGTTGGGTTCAAGGTCACGGTGAGATGACTCCAGGTGTACGGTCACTTCCGGGGCCTCTCCTGTGGGGGGAGACAGTGGCCAGAGCAAAGGGCAACCCAGGTCTTTGGCCCTGTGAGCCTGGCTCGTACCTGCCCCTCACGGAGACGTCCAAGGGCCAAGCAGCAGTGGGTTGAGAGGCCTCAGAACTGACTGCCCATTTTAGGTACTGGGCAGCTTAATGCCCCCCTGGGTGGAGGGATGCTGGGCATGGTGCCAACTCTTCCCCTCAGTTACCCTTCCTGGGGACATAATGCCCACAGCAGGGAAGAGGGCCCATGGCTGGGAAGCCAGTCCCCACACCCGTCATCTGACCCCCAAGGTCTCTGTCAGTTTTTTTTGGGGGGGAAGACTGATGGGTGTAGTCAGTCGCCCATCTCCAAGGTGGCTCCGGTGACCTTGGGCCCCCTTGCAGCTCTTCCTAGTCTATCGAGCAGACAGGTGCCCATGGCAGAGCCTGCTGGAGAGGGTGGCCTGTGAGGCTGAGGTACACACCATCTCGGCTTGTGTTTGGGGTCCTCAAATCCCCTGCCCTGGAGGAAGCGGGCACCATCCTGGGAAGACATCCATCAAGGGTCCAATGGGAAGACTCACTGAGGGAGGAACTGAGGCTTCCCACCAACAGCCAGCCTCCACCCATGACCCCTGGTCTTTGCCAGGACTTCTGGACCCCACCCCCACCCCAAGCCAGAATTGTACAGCCGGACTGCTCCTGAACCTCCCGACACACGCCCATCGTCGTGCCAACACCAGGTCAGCCCAGAGACAGGCCCGCTTCTGCTTCTGGGTGTTGGTTGGGAACTTTGGCTGCTCTGCCACCTCCCACCTTCCCCTACCACCCAGCCCCTGCCGTGGAAAGGGTCCAGCACAAATCCACACAGCTACCAGCCAGCTTCATTTGTTTCTTTTTTCGTTTTTAATGAGCACTTTACAACGTACAAAATATACTGTCTGGGGAACATTCATTTTTCCCTTCTCCTTTCTCCCGCATACAGTACTTGAGTCTTGAGGGCGGGTCTGTATTTCAACAACGAGAGTCAGCATGGGGGCCCCCAGGGGCAAGGGTCCCTGGGGGCTTGGTGACAGATCAAAGGGGCCTGCCGCTGCTGGTAACACAGCACGGGTACCAGCTGAGGCCTTGCACAGGGCAGGGGCCCCTCAGCGCCTCCTCCCATGCACCCCATCTCAGGATAACGGAAATGATTTTGGCATTGAGCAAGAAGAGGGTGGGGGGAGGGGAGACTTCCTGGCTGCGGGTCCCCACTACTTTGGGATGGACCCTGCTCTACTCTCCCTGGCCGCTTTCTGAACAGGTAAACGGAGGCAGCGGAACGGAAATGGCATTGCGCTTGGTCTTCCTGAGGACCTCCCCCCACCGCCCTTGGGTGTGCAGCTCTGCCACCTGCTGTGAATACTGTCTCAGGCCCAGGGCCTCTGAAGAGGCAGCCCCGGCTGGGTGGGGCGCAGCGCCCCAGTGGATCCTCCTTTCCCGCTCCAGGGAATTATTTTAGGAAGAGGTTTTCCTAACAGGGCACATTCCCAGGAGGCCCTGCTCTCCGCCTGCATGAGCCCCTAACCCCCACCGGATCCTCTCTGTACACACGGTGAGGGGTGGGGGGTGGCAAGCCTGCCAGGAGGGCTCGGAACAAGGAAAGAGACGGGGGTCCGACCTGGGCTCCGCGCACGCACGCGTGCAGCATGCACCTGTTCGTGAGTACCCACGTCTGTGTACGTGGCTCCACTCCCCTCCTCTCAGACCCAGAGAAACACAAACCACAAACCGAAAACACCAAACTCACAGCCAGCAAGTCGATTCCAACTCACAGCAACCCTGTAGGGCTCAGAACTGCCCCCGTGGGTTTCGGGGTGGATGGCTCTCTCCCGGAGCAGAGCCTCGTCTCTGTCCCGAGGAGCTGGTGCTGTGTTTGAACTGCTGACCCTGCCGTCAGCAGCCCAGCACCGAATGCCACTAGGCCCCCCTCATACCAAGAGCGACCAACTCACCACAACTCCAGGGGCGCGCCTGCCTCGGCCAACGGCTCCAGGGTTCCCCGTTCCTTGGAGCAGAGGCCACAGCCCACCCAGGTTCCTCAGAGGCTGTGGGAAGGGGATGGGGGCCTGCCACCGAGCCTCGAATCGGTACAGAGCTGAGGGTAGGCTTCTGGATGTAGCTAGCAAGCCCCTCACCCAGGTTCAGCTGTCTCCAGCCTGTCAGCCACCTGGGTGACTTCTCTCCCCGGAGGGCACGGGCCTGTCCATGCCCCGCTCCTAGCACACGCAGGGTCAGGGGAACCCGAAGGGGCCAAAGCCACATCTTCTGTGTTGAGACCCCTGCATGGTCCACGAGGGCCCCCCCTCGGTCCTCCCTGTGGCGGGGTGGCAGGGACAGACGGGCAGTCCCCAGGCCTGGTTCAAAGGGGGCAGGTGTCCCAGAGCCCGGTTTTGTAGCCCCTGGCCCCTGGGCTTCACTCAGATGGGGCCTCAAAAGTCTCTGACCCAGGGCTAGGGTCTTCTGCTGTCTGCCCCCAGGGGTGCTCAAATGGGGGCCCCGGAGGGTGCCCCCACCAAAAGCCAAAGGCAACAAACTCACAGCCAGGGCGTTGATGGTGACTCAGTGACCCCGCAGGACAGGGCAGAACTGCCCCCAAGGGTTTCTGAGACTGTCACTCTTGATGGGGACAGAAAGCCAGTCTTTCTCCCTTGGAGCCAATGATGGTTTTGAACTGCTGACCTTGCGGTGAGCCGCCTAACACGTAACCCATGACACCACGCAGCCTCCTTAGCAGGGACTCCCCAAGCCTGGGCAAAGAACACAGCAGCTCGCGGCCAGCGGCCCTCGTCCATCCGTTCAGTTCGTCAGGCACAAAGAACTCTTGGCTCCGGCCGGGGCCTGGCCCTGGCCCTGGCCTCCCCGTCTGCCTCTGCTTTGAGTCTTGCTTGCCCGCATCCAGTCCCGTCTCCTCAGGAGGGGCAGGTGCCTGAAGAGCACCCTTCTGAGCACCCAAGGGCTCAGAGACAAAGTGGCCCATGGTCATGGTGAGCAGCCCGAGCCTGTTTCCTGGAGCAGAGGGAGGGAGAAGGCCGGTGGTCTGGGAGGCCCTTGACCCATCTGATGTTGGTGCTGGGAAGATCCCGGGGGCCAGGTCTTCACACCCTGCCTCTGCTGGTCAGGGCTGGGAGGCTGAGTGACTCCCGCCTCACTGGGGACCTGGGAGCCCTAGTGCTGGGGGATAAGTCGAAGTGGCAGATGTTTATAAAGGGCAGGTGGTGGTGGGCTTGGCTTTCTCTCAACGACCCTCCACAGTTCTTCCCCTCCAGGGGCTGGGCAGGCTGAAGGTAGGGTGCTTATACTGCCTGATCCCATCTCAGCAGACCAGCCCGGCCCAGGCTGCCTTGTCCCCCCTCGGCACAGCATTGTCTTCCAGCGCACAAGGCTGGCCCCAGCCTGGCCCGAGTCCCAGCTCGCTGGGGCCCCACCAGGAAGAAGCCCAGGACCACTGTCAGTGGGCTGGGACCACCTCCGTCACCTCAGAACACCCATTTTCCTCCAGGTGTGGAGTCTGGAGAGCCCTTCGCCTCCCGAGAGCCCGGAGGCGGCTGGGTAGGCTCGGGGTGGACAGCACTGGGGAGTCACACACACCCATGTCCCCAGAGGCGCTGTGGGGCCCAGGCCATCGGCTATGCTACTCACAGGGATGCACAGAAAACACGGGAAAGAAACCAGTTTCCTCACACAGCCCAAGAGTCCACTGTTCAGCCCAGCTCCGGCCATCAGCTTGGGGGTGGGTCCCTGTGCCAACCGACCACCTCCCAACACAAATGTACGTGTGTGTATCTGGAGGTATGTGAAGCGCGCCTTTCCTGGTTACACAGGGTCCCGGGGAAAAGGCCGGAGCTCAGCCTGCGGATCCAAATGCCAGGAAGTGTGGGCGGAACACCAGCTGTCTGAGGAGGGGAGTGGCCCGTCTGGCAGGTGGGAAGTTGGGACACCCCAGTTGGGCTGGCTCTTCCGATGTAGAATGTCCCGCCAGGTGGGGACGTGAACCCAATGCCTCCTCTCCCATGCCCATTCCCCCCAATAAAAGGAGGATGTTTGGATGGGGGGGCCAGGCAGGGTCTGGCTTCCGAGGGTGCCTGGGGCCAGTGGGGCAGGGACCCAGGATGGGAAACCACAGCAGAGCCTGGACACCGGGGTCAGGCTGCTCTGGCTGCTGGTTGTGTGTCCTCAAGAGTGGGGGGTGAGGGCCGGCGGGTTTCTCCAGTCATTGTATTGCCTCTATACTTGAATTAAAAATGTTACGGTGGCTCAGAGCGTGGGTGCCCAGCCAACGTGGGGTGGGCAGAGGCCCCCCGCAAGCCCGCACAGTGGGGGCCGTGCCCACACACGGCACGCGCGCACGCACACACACAGTATATATTAACATATATATTGCTCAAGGATATATGCTATTTACAGAATATATCTATATCTACATAAAACACAGCTATTTATATGTGTGTACAACAGGGAACAGCCTGGGGGCTCGGGGGTGGGGGGGTGCCAGGGGACACGAGGCCGGCCCCAAACACCTGCCCGAAGGACAGCCAAACAGAAGGGAGACCACCCCTGACAAGGCCCCGGGGCTGGGGTCCCCTCTGGCCGGCCGGGTCCCTTTGGGAGCCAGCAGACAGCAGGCAGGTCTGGGTTGTTTTGTGCAAAATGAATTAACTTAAAAAAAGGAGTGGGGGGTGAGGGGGACTCCTGATCTGTGCTGTCGGCCTCGGCATTGGACAGGCTACCATGGG